TTAAAGAAAGTAAAGAATTTAAACGCTATCATCGCTCATCATTCTATTGATAGTACCTCAAACGTCATTCAATTGCATAGATAATAGTAATAATAATTAATTAATGAATAATGCAAGTTACAATATTTCTTATCAAAATAAAGTAAGAAGCAAAGAAAAAGACACTACTTTTTCTCAAAATTATACAGACCAACTGTCCCCACTTAGAAAGTCGCAACAGTACAGTGTTAACGGAGTTATCTGTCTATCTTTATATGTCGGTTGCTCACTGTTTCTCAGTTTCCACTCATCTGAAACCTCTGAATGTACTAACAGAGAGATCCATGGCCATAATCTCATTTTCACCAATTTATCTGCTACTACTCTTTGCCAGACTCTCAGCTTTTACAGTTGCATTTCTTGTACTCACTTGGGCTCTTCATTTCAAGACCAGTTTTCTCCCTCATACACACTCCCAAGAAGACCTAATTTATTCTGTATGTCATTTTGATGTGTTCTTGTATATGTATGTGATGCATGAATTTGAATTTGAGTGAGTGAGTGAAATTTCTGATTTTTGTTTTCTTTTTTTGGTTGGGCAGGTGCTGCATCCTTTGCTAATGGTGATTGGTTTCATTCTTATTAGTGGAGAAGGTTATGAATATATTATGTGAAGTTTAATTCCTTGAAGCTCTTGGGTTTTCTTTTGATAAATTTTTGTTTAAATTTCTTTTTTATTTTTTTCCCAGCAATTTTGGTGCATAGATGTTTACCTGGTTCAAGAAATTTGAAGAAATCAGTGCATTTGTGTCTTCAAGGACTTGCTTTGGCAAGTGGGATTTTTGGAATTTGGACCAAATTTCATGGACAAGATGGAGTTGTGGCTAATTTCTATAGTTTGCATTCATGGATGGGTTTGATCTGTATCTCCATGTTTGGGGCTCAGGTTTGTTCCACTTTCTTCTAATTATACTCCTCAATTCTTTTTCAGCTGATTTTTTCTTTTAGTATTGGCTTTTTGTAAGGGGTGGGGTCCATTGACGATATAATATAAGCAAATAAATATATTGTTACATTAAAGTTTTTAGACAGATTACTGAATATATTAATTCATACAAATAAATATATTGTTTCATTTAATTTTAGATGTTCCGTTTATTAATATGAAATAATTTAATTGATTATGAATAATATATTGTCATACATCACACCGTTGGACTTAAGTTAGGTGGCTAGTTATGTCGGATTCAATCAATTATGCTACTCAATAATGATACTAGATGAAGGGGCATGGTTGGATTATTATAGTATTATACATACACCAATCGAATATCCAAAATACAGCATTTGCCCAAATACAGCACGAATAAGTTCCTCACTTGTGATATGTAAAGGGTCGACCATAGACTAAATGCATTCTTGGTATTGCAGTGTTAGATAGGATTAGACACTATAATAAATAAAATTTTAACTTCATTTTCTTTCTTAATATTGTTCAATGCTACATAGTACTCTCTACCAAACATATCATAAGGGCACCATTTGTACAATACATTACCAAATAAATCATAATGCTATCTAGCAAATGAATCAATTGCTAGACAGAATTGAAAGATTAGACGACTGTGCAAAGATGAAGGAATTAGCAAATTTCCATAATGTTTTGGGCATCCCGGCAATTATATACTGACAATCCAATGTCCACCTCGACTGATCATATTTAGGTTCTTTAGAGCTTATATCAGCTATAAATGCACATTTTTATCCCTTCTATTGCTGGTATCATGTTTCCATTGTAGATCGAACGTTTGATAGGAATTATCTAATGTATGAATTTTTTTATTTCCCAAATTGGTGCAGTGGCTTGGTGGTTTTCTAAGCTTTTGGCATAAAGGGGAGGCACGGACAACAAGATTAAGAGTCTTGCCCTGGCATGTCTTCCTTGGGCTATACACATATGGTTTGGCGTTAGTCACAGCTGAGACAGGGCTTCTTGAGAAGTTAACTTTCTTGCAAACCAAAGGAGAAGTATTGAAGCGTAGCACAGAATCAGCAATTGTAAATGGTTTAGGACTAGGGTTGGCTTTGTTGGGCGGTGCTATAATATTACTAGCAATAGCTCCTAAACACCAAATTCCAAAATCTAAGATTATGCATTCAACCTAGTGCTTTATGAATTTATAGATGTACATATTGTTCCAATCTCATTGAACATATGCTGGTCATAGAATATATCTTCCGTTTTACTGATTAATACAGGTGTTTTTAGAGAGGTTTAGCTGAGTGAATCATAGTATTCTGTATTTGTTGTTCTTGAGTGATCAAGTAGGGTTGCTAGTATTAATGTTTGGAAGAATGAAAATGGCTTATCATTTACATGGCTCCACTCTCCAAGAACTCTAAATCATTGTCGTGAAGCTCATCCTCATGATAATCATCAG